TCCGCGCCGCTCCTCCGTTACCGACCGAACCGCTCGGAGCGCCGGATCTACCGCCGACTGGTCCCGCCGACTTACCGACCGTCTCTCTGACCCTCGGTAAAGAAACGCTAACACGCGTTGGTCGTCTCACGCTTTCTTGCCTACCTGGCCCGACGAGCATATCCGAGCGCAAGAAAAGCGAACCGTCACATTCAGCATTGCCAAAAACGGTGTTAGATGCCATCAAACCAATTTACGAAATCCTCAGCAATGACAAATTGTTGGAACGCTGTGTTGGCGGATACACACAAAACAGCAATGAGAGCTTCAACCAACTTATTTGGAAGATAGCTCCAAAAACGATGCACAGCGGGGCCAAAATCGTAAACATTGCTGCATTTCTTGCAACATGCACGTTCAACAATGGTGTCACGTCATTGTTAGAAGTCATGAACGTGTTAAGAATATCGGTCGGATCGGGCGCGCACTTGTACGCTGCGCAAGAAGACGAAATTCGCATAGCGAAAGCCGAGCTGCAAGCGCAAGAACAGACGAAAGAAGGTCGAATAGGGCGCCGACAACAAAATTTAGAAGACATGAACATTCCGTCGACCGTAGAAGACTTATACTATGGGCCTGGTATCGATGATTCCGTGTAAGTTGAAAAATTTCATAATTTATTCATTCCCAAATTTTTAAACGCGTTTTTCTCGAAACCACGTTTTTCAAATCGGTACCCAAAATTTCTCGAAAACCAATGAACCGATTGCTTTGAATTTTTTTTGTGTTTATTCTATACATCATTATCTTGTACTTGTCATAGGATTTTTTTTTCGTTGCTTAGTTTTTGTTTTATAGGCAAAATAATAATTAATTTTTGTCGAAAAATCGCTATGTTATGTTCAAACGTCCGCCATTTTGTCATAAATCGATATTTTCAAAATCGGCTATGACAAGTACAAGATTATAGTATCTAATTTAATAATCTTTTTGGTTTTTTTGTTTCAGATAATTTTTTGAAGAAAACGCCAGTGGGTACCGTTTACCC